ATTAAGTCAGGGCTATCTGTACAGCAGTTCAAATATTTATTTACTTATTTAATTATTACAATGGCTCAGTTTCGTGTTCTGATCAAACTAATTAAAAAAAGTATATTTCACATGTAGACTAGTTGCGTCAACATGCTGAGAAAAGAGAACCTTTTATCTAATCTACTTGTCAAGGTTACTACTTGCCAAGGTGGGCTGATGGGGTAACATATTGGCACTTTGGAATGCAGCTTTCTGCAACTTTGATGCAGAAATTATTTATAATTTGGAAGATTGATTCATATTGCTGTTGGAACCACTAAAATACTCTCTGTGTGACCGATTTTATGCATTAGATCAGCGGTTCTCAACCTATGGGTCGCGACCCCATTTGGGGTCGATTGACCATTTCATGGGGGTCGCCAAGCAAGGCTGTCCGCCATTTTTTCCCCCTTTTCCGGTGGGTGCCTTACCTCCCTTGGGCTGGGCCAGCTGGTGGTCGGCCTGCTCCGTCTCTGCCGCTTGCCAGCTACGCCTCGGCCGGCGCAGGGGGTGGAAGCACGCATGCGCGGCGCTCCCGGGCAGGGAGAGTCCTCGACTTACGACCGGTTGGGTAGTCCTCGACTTACGACCGGTTTAGTCCTCGACTTACGACCAGTTTAGTCCTCGACTTACGACCGGTTTAGTCCTCGACTTACGACCGGTTGGGGGTCGCGGCATTAAAAAGGTTGAGAACCACTGCATTAGATTCTTGTTGTAAATGAACATTCTTTTATAAACCTCTATTAAAAAATGGTACCTTTTATTATGCCATTGAAATTCCTGTAAAAATAGGCAATAATATATTTTCATGGTTTATGATTTTAAGTACATAGCGAAGAGGGGAATACTAGTTCCCCCATAGCAGAAAATAATGTTTAAAAAATTATTAGTTAAGGATTAATCATTTAGTGCATAACATTAAGATGTAGTAGAAACCACAAGCATGTTTCATCCAAGGACATGACCAGATTCACTTTTATGACTGTTTTAGGATGTCATTAAGCAAATATATGGCCGAAAGTCCAACTCCAACTTATCCAATGGACATTTTTTGCCATGGGTCATAATTTTTTTTAATCCTTTATGCAACTGATTGTATGTCAATAATAACCTTCTATAGTAGACATGTCAAACACAAGGCCTGGGGGCCAGATGTGGCCCGCGAAGTGGTTTCATGTGGCCCGCAAAGCCATCCTGGAAACCGTGAGGGAACGGTCCCCACTACCTTGGCCCTGGCCCTGGCCCTGGCTGCGTTTCTTGACTGTTTTTCTCCCTCCCTCATCTCAAATATTTTCCCACCACTCTGTACTTAAGAAGGAAGAAAGGAAAGAAGGAAAGAAGGAGAGGAAGGGTCTGAGGGAAGTCCTGCCTTAGTCCAGTCCTGCTGCCCTTTTGCCATCCCCTTGCCCCCTCCTCCTGGCCTATCCTGGGGTCTCCCATCCTGTTGCTAAGGAAGTTTTGGATACAAAGCCGGGTCTCCTCCCATGGAAAGGGAATGGGCCTTCTCTGACTTTGCCCTCATACCCATCATGAGCAACCTGACTAAGGAGAGCAAGCACAGCAGCAGCAGCCTTGAGGAGGAGGTAAGTGCAGCTGGGCACCCCCTTGGGGAAGTGGGGCTGGGCTTGGTGCCCCAGGTGCTCGAGGGCCAGGCTGGGCATTTGACCTCTGCTGCCCAGGGCTCTGGGAAGCCCGCGCCACCATCCACCTCCCCCCACATGGCCTGAAAGGCACTTGCCCTGGTCCCACCCCCTTCTGCCAGAGACCCTCAGATCTGTCCCACTGCTGCCCAGGCCCCCACAGGCCCCCTTGACGTGAACGATGTAGAGCTGGCCACACCCACTCCATGCCCACCCAGTAGGCCGCACCCACCCTGGCCACACCAACCCGGCCCCCCAAGGGCAACCGCAATGCTGATGCAGCCCTCAATGAAATTGAGTTTAACACCCCTGTTCTATAGAAACTGTGCTTATCATTGATAAATAAACTTAGCTAAAATTTGCTAACTATAATAGGTGAACTTAAGCAAAGTTCCACAGGATACCATATATTTCCATCACAGCTTCACCAGCTGGAGGCATTATATACAGTAATAGTAGTTTTGATACTTAATTATCTTAGCTTTGATACACTAAGGTTGCATTGTATCAGGTACTTTTACAGAAACATATTTAAGGGTTTTTTTTGTTGGTTGGTTTTTGCAGATAAAGTGTAAGGTTTTGTTTTATTCCTTTACAATATGAGATGGACTATATTTGTATTAGGGTTATGCAATATTATAAAATTAGGCACAACAGGATAGACCCATACATGCAAGAATTTCCCATACAGCTAGATAAGAATGTGAAATACACAATGGAATATTTCATTATAATTATCTCTACATAATTTACATTTGTAAGCATTCATAACATTAAGATGAGGTCTTTAAACCACTGAGTGATTGTTTGAAGACAAGTCTCTTAGAACTCAGAGTGGCATGGAGAGTTTATTTTCCTTGTTCAGATTACAATATAAGATAATAGTTCAAAAGAATGTAGACATCCAAAAATATTAAATCTCATTTCAAACTTAATTTAATAACAGTAATGATTTCCTTTCAGAATATAGCAATGCTGTGACATGACAGAGACATTTTAATGAAGCATTATTCTCATGTCATCTCCAACACAGTAATTTATGAATTTTTGTGCAAAATAATGAAGTCCAGTGTCCAAAGTACATTATATTGTTGCTGTTGAATGAACCATAATGTAAGACCTATTGATTTTTTTTTTTACATAAATGCTAAGGCAGTTTCTGTTGTTCAGACAAAATGGGGATCTACAATTGTTTGTCCCATTCATCTTCAAAGATTTGTATATCAAACTGATTTTTCAATAAGTGTTACTTGTAAAGATGAATTACAGGCTTTTTTTCCTGAAAATTTAGAAATCATTTCTAATAATTTAGGTGTTTCTGAAGCTAATAACATCGCTTATCTAGATTCAGATGTAAGTATGTTATAGTTGTCAATTCAGTACTGTCAATAGGTAGTGACAGACAAATGATATTTATCTTTTACCATACAAAAAGATAAAACACGTTTAGATCTGGATTTAGCACAAGAAAAAAAATCAAAATGCAATTTTCCAGATATATCATATTACAATTTTGGAACCATTGCAACAGTACTAGAAAATAACACTGGACCACATTTTTTTTCAAAAGTTTTTCTTCCTGAGTGTATCACATAGAGCTCTTGAGAAAAATTGAATTAACTTTTAATGACTATAATATATTTAATGACATAAAAGTTCTGACATGAAGCATGGTTTCAACAGGGTTAAAAATGTTTTGGCTGTTGATTTTTGTTTGTACTCTTGTTGCAAGGTCCAATAATAATCAGCCAGCATTGATGGATTCCATTTGCCCTGATACCATTTTTCCATCTGAAAGATGACCATGTTCTTTTGATCAATAATGCATTTCATTTGTCTAAATTAAAGCAGACTATCAAAACTAAACCAACTTTCTACATTCAAATTGGTTTAAATCTATTTGATGACTTGTACGTATGCAAAAATATAAAAATCAGAATAATTAAAAAAAATAAAACTGATTGGATCACCCTCATAAATGTTTCATTTTCCTATCATGATTGCCTTGGCTTTGCTAATTCCTTGACAATATGTTTTATATTATTTATTTATTCAATTTACATGGCCACACACCTCAAACATATGCTGTGGGCGGTTAACAAAGAATAAATGAATAAATAAGCCAGGAAGCCAATAACTTAGACTTGGCTCTGTAAGATGCAGTCATCCATCATTCACACTAACTGCTAACCCTCCTGACATTACAGCCTTTCTAGAGAGATTTTATAAATTGCAGCTATGCCACACTAGAAGATTTAATATTAGAGTAGGAATGTATTCGATTAGAAATCAAGATAAGATCAAATCTACAAATCTAAAACTGCAAATCCTTTCTGTATTCTGTATTAAGGGCAGGCAATGAGATCTCATGGTCTTTTTTTAATTTAATTTTAATTGTTCACTTAACATCAATTCACATTTAACTGATTTATTCATGAAAATGCTTGAATGACATAATGCAGCCACAATTACTTTACTGAGGATATAAGCTTAATTTTCTGTCTTTGAAAGATTTATCTTAAAACTGAGATTTATGTTCACTGGATTGTGCTTGTATAGCTTAAAGTGGCATTCCAATGCCTCTTTAGCTGCTATTGAAATTGCCTTTCCTCTTTGTGAGCTGAATTCTTTGTCAGTTTAAAATATCAGGGAGCACTAGGATGCAGTCTCAGTAGTAAAAGCTACCATAATGATAATTTCGAGAGATGATTTCTATTTACTATTAATATTTTCAAAAGCTCCATCACACAGTAAACCAATTGCAGGACTGGCTAAAACTATTTGTTACCCAAGTACATGTATGTTAGTGGTTGGACACAACTGAGTATAATTTCTGGCCATAAGAAGTCAGTAAGCATTTGGCAGAATTCTGATTGGACAGGGACAAGAGTCAATCACTGAGACAGGACGTATGGAGTAGAAATAAGGCCATCCTCCTTTCCTTCTCATAGTAACAAAGTCCTTCTTCTCTAATCTGTCAGTTAAGATTCAAAGAGTATCAGATGGGTACAGGAAATGAAAGGTTGGTTTATATAAAGTCTTTGGCGCTTGAGCATGAGCTTTGCTTAGCAACTACTACTAAACTCTTTTAAATAAGTACCAGATGACTGAATACTCATTTCAGGAATTAGGTATTGTGACATATAGATGGAAATTGAAGACTAAATAGTCCTTGGAAATCTCTGGGAACTTTCTGTGAGGGTAGGTGAGAAAACTATATAGTACGTATAGTCCTTTGTGCTTTGTATATATAGATGCAAATATCTATTGTATGTGTTTTCCTTGTGGACATGCCTAGTAACTAAGTCTTAATTATGTGTATTTTTTTTTCTTTTGCAGATAAGACATGGATGCATACTCCTGAAGCTTTATCAAAGCACTATATTCCTTATAATGCAAAGGTGAGGTGTGTGTCTGCTAACTTGTTTCTACTAACTTGATAGCTAGCAATTGTCTAAATCATATTGTTGTTGTAATTAGTAAAGACTTCATTCTTTCAGGGGTAATTTGTTGGGTTCATATGGCAAAAGAAGAGAAACAAAGTGCAAGTGGCATCTTGTTTTTTTTAAGCAATAAAAGAATATGGGAAAGGTTGAGGTAGCTCTTATCAGAGTTTGAACTGATACTGCAGAAGACTTTTGAAATTAGGCTGAAGGCCATTTTTATTTTTAGGACCAAGAAATATCCATTCATAATATTCAAACATTTTTTCATTTTCTTTCATAAGATATGGGGTTCTTGGTGCTCTCTGAGTTTCATTGTTTCCTTGCAGGCATTTCATTACCTAACTAGGTAACATCATCAGTGTTAGAAGGGGTTGTTTCTTGAGTGGGCTGTTTACTGTTTGTTTGTCTTAGTTGGTATTGCTTTGATTGGGATATTGTATATTGCTTAAGTGTTAATCTAATATTAATCTTAGTGTTAATCTCTGCTTATCTGGGTGTTGATTGTTGGCGAGGAGGTGTATTGGTATCTTTGTTTCCTTATTAGCTTTTTGATTGTCTCTTTTGAATGTTATGTAGATGTTATTTATCCCTGTGTGGCCATGAAATTTATCCCTATGATGGCTGGTTTGTCTGAGTGTCATCTGAATGGTTTGGTCTACAATGCTCACAGTTTCCCCAGTTGAAACTATGGTTAAGTCTGCCCATATGTTGTGCAATTAAGGAGTTTTCATCTTCTCTTCTGACTGCTGTTTGCTGTTCATGCATGTGCTCTGCTAGTTTCCTGCCAGTCTATCCTACATGGTGGTTATTACAGACTTTATACTGTATGTTGTAGATGAGTCCTGTTTTTTTTTTTTTTTTTTAGTTCTAGGCTACTGGGTCTTTGATTTACTTAAGATGTTTTTCTGGGCTTTGATGGTTTCTGTCCTTATAGTGATGCAATGTGGTTATAATAATCTGTTGGTGGTTTCTGAAATGTTTTTGATGTATGGCAGTATTATCCTTTTAACAGCTTGTGTTGGTTGTGCAGCAATGTGTCGAATGTCCGGGCATTTTTTGATAAAGAGGCATGAGTATCCATCTTGTTGGAAGATGTAGAGATGATCCTTTTTCTGACGTTCAGGGTTGCTGCAGTGTGTTTGTGCTCGTCTAAATCAGGGGTAGTCAACCTTGGCTCTTTTATGACTCGTGGACTTCAATTCCTAAGCTGGCTCAGGAATTCTGGAAGTTGAAGTCCACGAGTCATAAAATAGCCAAGGTTGACTACCCCTGGTCTAAATAATGTTCTTGCACAGCTTCTCTTGTGGGAATTTGGGCTGTTACTTTGGTAGTGGAGCAGTTGGTTGGTGTGGGTGCTTTTATAATAGACTTGTGTTTCTAATGTGCCATCACTGCCTCTGCTGATGAGGATATCAAGGAAGAGTATTGGTGTTTCTTCTTCCCTTGTGAATTTTATTCTCTTGAATATGCTGTCAATAGATTCATGAGTCTTCTCTTTTGTAAGAATTACTAGTCCTCCTTTGACCCAGTGCTTCCTACTGCCTATCCAGATGGCAGAATGAGCAATAGATTACTTTTTTACAGCATATAAATAATTATCCTATTCAAAGTTATTGGGCAGGAGAGGGTTTAATTATCAACCCTTCCATTGTAGCTATTTCCATACAATCAGTAGCATAGTTTTCTTACTTTTAATATTAAAGGGAAAAAGCTCTATTGATCAGGATTGTGGGAGGGGAGGCAGAACTTCAACTTCCTTTTTTTTTGCTGTTTGAAGCACAGAAATAAATCTCATAATCAAAATGTTGAGGAGCAAGGAAGCTTCAATTGCCCCTCAAAGAGTCCATTGGTATACAGAACAAAAACTTTCAAGACTATTTGGAAGCTGGAAGAGAATGCAGTCTCCCCGTTTGCATGAGAGAAATTAACATTCTCAGTGGGGAGAGTGTCTTCAAAAGCCAGCTTTGAAAGATTCATTTCCAGTCTCTTCCTCCTTATGTGCTATATTTGGATAGGAAAATGTCATGCATATATAATCTTTATGGACCTTTGGCTGATTATGTTGGAAATGATACTGCGATAAATAAAAATGTGCCTGGCGTTAAATAAAATATGTTGGCACTAGAAAGTGAAGGTTAAGAAAAAAACATCTCATTGACAGTATTTTCTGTCGTGCACATATCATGCATATTAACCATTATCAATAGAAACCATCTGCACTCGCTGTAGAACTGGAAACTGATAGATAACCACAGATATAGGATCAACTGATGAGTTTGAAATTGCAAGAGTTCACAGAACTCTTCCTACATTCCAAGTATTTCAATAAAATGATATTTGTACAGTATTAAAATTATTAATATTGTGTTGTTTAGATAACCTGGAGTTTTGATTTAGGATATTGATATAAGTATGCAATTACTTGACTTTTTATACAACACCGAGTGTAACTTTAGGGAAAAACTGCCGCAAATGGCATATAGTCACGCTGGCCACATGACCAGAGAAGTGTCTTCGGACAACGCTGGCTCTATTGGCCAAGAAACGGAGATGAGTACCGCCTTCTAGAGTCAAACACAATTGGACATAGGAAACTTAAACTGATTACTTAGTATTGAAAGCTCCATTGTATGATTGTTATAGGTGTGCATTATTATATGCATTTATGTATATGTATAGATAGTCGTCACTTAACAACTGTTCTGGTTCTTTACAGAATTTACAACAGAACCACTACCACCCTCTGAAAAAAAACCCCATATTTATGAGTCAATTTGAAAGTTATGGCCGTTGAAGTGCCTCTGCAGTTGTTCACCCTTACGACCAACCACAGGGACACTGCAGTCCCCCTCTTATCTCCCCCACTCATCCCTTCGGGTTCCACAGGCCTTTGGCCAACTCTCAACCTGGCCACTCAGCCACCCAAGAGAGCCCAAAAGCTTTGAAGCTGCCAGCCTGAATAGTGGCTCTAACAACTTGTAGGCTTTGGCTCCTTTGATGTCCATAAACTCCACAGACAAATGGAGCTTCCTTAAAAAGAAACAGAGTCCCCTGCAGGCTTGTGACAATAATGCCTGCTTGCAGAATGGTGTAAAGTTGTCAGGAGGCAGCATCTATAAGAAAGCTGAGCCTCATGTGGCATCAGTTGGGTGTCTCTGCAAAAAGCAGAAAGATAATTTGGGTGCTCTGGACCCTGGAGATGACTGGGAAGCAGGCTAAGTCCTGCAAATCTTTTGGGTAAGTGTGGATGAGTGTCTGTGTCTGCATGTGTGCCCATGTATGAGAAAGAGCAAGCGTACATTGTAACCAGTTTTTTGTTACTTTAAATTCACTGGATCTTTATGTATTCCAAAGAACTGGTTATGCCTCAGGGTGATATGAGTGTGGCTGTTGACCAAGTGAGTGACCATAACCTGAACGTGTGAGCACATGTAAGGTCTTGTTAAGTTTTCTTGTTTCTTTTTGATTTTTTTCTGAGATTATCCCTAGTTAGAAAAGTTGAGGTTTCATTTCGAATTTTAATTCCAAAATTTTCTTCATTGAACTATGTTTATCTTTCCACATGTGATAAAACGCTCCCTCGGTTTCATAGAGTTGTACCAATTTTCCTTTTATAACTTGTATGTTTTATTTATAGCGTTAGTCTGTAATTCTCCCCATTGCTGTGATGTAACTGTTTTTTAAAAATATTTTATCCATTGTATTGTATGGTTTTTCCTTTCTTCTGTCTGTGCATCATGTCTAAGTAAAATTTTATATATGTATTCTCACAGGTGATGGATGAGTAAGAAATTTTTTTTCTTAAAATTCTTCTTACCTTCTTGAGGATATGAGGGGAAAATACGACAATATTTCACTTTTATCTGTATTTTTAAAGTTCACATTTTGTAAGAGTCACTAAAATCAATCATAAATAGTATTATAGCAAAATGAGCAACTATTTTACTATGGAGTACTGGATCAGGCACTGAATGCAACATTTCTCCAGAATTTGATTTCATGTTTAAGATGCCTTTTCAAAACTACCAGTCCTCAAATTCACTATGTCTATTCAGAAGAGAAGATAAAGTACTGTAATTAATTTAGGATCATAGGAACCTTAAGTATAACTTCAGAAATATAGAAAGACAGTGTCCAAATTAAATACAAAGCTAACATTTATAATTTATGAAAGTGCATGTTTCATATGTAACCATGATCTGTTTCTGGGAAGTATACATTATAAATTTATATTGAGTCCCAAAATAGTTGGTTAGCTTCTGATTTAATCAACCTATTATACTAACAATCTTCTTGATTTTTTGAAAAGCATACAAGTCTGTGTTTTATAGAAAATTGGTTACAGGCAAACAACATCTGGTACTTGGAAAGCACTTAGAAATAATGCTGCAATTATTTTGGCAGACATAGGCATAGTATACTATGATGAAAGGGAGATTGGATGGTAAGAACAATGTTAATGTATAATGAACATTCATTGGATGTTTTGCTGCCAAACTAAAACGTGGTCATGAAGCTTAATTAATTCTGAAGCTTCATAAAACTTATTCATTGCGCAGTTGTACCATTTCAAATGTAAGACGTGGAAGTATCTGAATGCATTGCTACATAAAATATCTATTATTTCTGGGGTGCAAGAAACAGTCCAATCCGATTCAGGGCCCTAGTCTGGAACTGCAGAAATAGCTTATTTTGGTCAGGTGACCTTGAAGATAATAACTAAATTTAAAGTAAGGTAATTAAGAACAAAAAGTTTGATTTTACACAAGGGATATGGGTGCAGAATAATTAAAACTTGTTTTCTCATTTTTCACCAAGTTATAGGATGAAAATTGAGAGAAAACTAGATCTCAACATAAATAAGGTGTGCAAACATGTCTAGAAGCAGTGCACATGGGACAGAATTTGGACAAATTTGTAGTTCCTATGGGAGGTAAGATCCATATGTTTTAGGC